GGAGGAGGACGGGCTGTCGGTCGCTACCAGGAGGGACCGAACCTGTCACCACTGACCTGGGTTTGCTGGTAAACCTGCTACAACAGGCGTCAGAGCAAAACCACCCCGCCTGCTGAAGTCGTTACTGGAGATATCCAAAACTATACGGCACGATACAATCCGTAATAAAGTGCAAAACTGACTTAATATAAGGAACGCAATGAAGATCGTAGCTCAGTATCTAACTGGGTGGCACATTATTGCACACAGCCATACAGGGAAGCCAAACAGGCCAGTTAAGTAGCATAGGAGATTAGGAACGGACGAGGAAATACTGATCAGGTGCATATTAAATGAGCGATGGTAACACAGCAAGAAGAAATAAAAGAATACCCTAGCTCAGGGAATGGCACTGCCGCAGTGGGTTTCACAGTAACTAGAAACTTTTCCACAGTGCAAAGTCTTTCAGCATTTTACAAAATTCATGTTCTTAATGTTTTCCTTATTTAGGACATTGATGATGTTGGGCATAAGTACCATCTGGAGCTGGTGTTAGAAGACGTCCTTGACAAAGTGAGTTCCGATTTATTTAATTAATATACTCCGTGGGCAGAAGCTGCCAGTACTGATGAGTAATACAAAGCTGTCGCTTTACGCTGCTGATCCCAGCTGACACACCTAGGCGGATGCACTAGTTAATAACACTTGGTGGTGTCTTTCAGATTTTTCTATACAGCAGATTAGAACCACCCTACCCCCCCAAAAAAGCTCACTTTTACCAAAAGGGAACCCCCATTTCTTGCATCGTGAAAACCCCAAACACCTGCTGCCACTATGACAACAAGAGAACGCTTGAGGGATGCCAAGGACAGTTGCAGTGTCATTCAATTTCAAACTGACTGGAGCCAAAACAATTATTCCCAACTGAATAACACAAGTGACATTCTGCACCACAAACATGGCTTTTCCCATCACTGCAGAAAGAAAACTGCCCTTACAGTATATTCACAGAAATACTGTGAATTTAACGTTGTATGAAATCATCACAAATCTCTACGGGCCAGACTCAGGGGAAACGGCAACTATGTAAGGAAAACCCCCCACATTTTAGAGGTGCAAATTACCACTATTATACGTGCATTTAATCAAATATTCATACAAGAAATTAACTCTGTAACAGGACAGTACTGTTAACTGCACCGCTGAGGTTCTTTATCACCTGGGCACCAAAAGCACTGCTCCAGATGTGCAATTCACACTCGACAGAGAACTTAAGAACGCAGACGAAGCAGATAAAGTATTCTATGACCGAATCAAGAGCCTGGACAAAGAGCTTGTGGCAGAAAACATACCAGGTACAAAGAAGGGGTCTGGGCAAGAAGGAAGTTTGGGAGACAACATCTTCCATGGCCAGAAGCCACGGTGCTAGTGGTGGTCCACGACTGATATGGGAATCCCTACTGAAACAGCCAGGAGGGAGGAGGATCAGGTCATTAGCCCTGCTCTGAACGCAGAGAGAATATACGTTAGGAGAAAGTGGGGGGAAAACACAGCAGTGATATTGCAGCTCTTCCAAGATTATATGGAGGATCTGTGACACAGCGAGAGACTTTGGTGCACCGAGCACTATTAGGTGATAAGATGCTGTTAAGGGCTGCAACTCCATAAATCTTGCTTAATGTAGATTATTTATTTTGTTTGCCAGACAGCCATGGCAACGTGTCCCCAGAAATGGAGCCAGTCCGCCTGCTGGCGTGGGCTGCCTCCGGCTATGTGATATGGCAGAACTCAACTGAAAACACTAAGTTTGAACTCGCCCAAATTAAACGTGTGAAGCAAGTGGTAAGTTACCAGGAACAGCGTGCAATAAAACCAGTATTTAGGAGATAAGCACTTGGGGCAGGTACTTTCTTAGGCAAGAAACCTCCATTGTGTCTGAACTTCTTGGTCCGGTTTGTTTTTAAGCCAGCGTTTGGTTTTCGTTCCACCAGTCCCTGCCCTCTTGCAAACCATGAAGGCTTTCACTGATGGCTTGAGTGTTTCTTTCGGTTATTACTCCTCTCCATAATTCCTGCTTATAGAAGCTGGGTCTTCTTGGCAAGAGCAGTATGCTACGCTTATTAAGTTACCAAAAATTGATGCTTCCACTAGGGCGGTCATCACGGTGATTACAGTTTTATATTACTTTCCTGCTCCCCTTTTTGGGGGGTGGGGTGATGAGATGACGCTAGAATTAATTTTAAGTTGAGCTCTTAACACTTATATCAGCATGACAAACACCCAAATATTTTTTATTTTATATTATTTCTAAGTGGTTACAAGCAGATCTGGGTCTACCCTAAGCTATGAAATAAAAACAACTGGCAAATCTCACTTTGGCTATTCAAATTAACTGAGTCATTAGCAACAGGCCTTGCAGACTTCTTGCCTGGAATGGGCTTAATCAAGGAACTTGCTTTCAGACAAGTCATCAGAGCAAAGTTCTTGGTTTTATTTTTAAATAAATAGAATTTTATAGATTCTCCCAGTTCTTCTCTGTTCTCTTTGGAGAATCAAGAGTAACTCCTAGGGGGATGGTCAACTTCAAATTCAAGGAAATTTAATATGTAAACTAGGGCAAAGAAGCAGGACTTTGAATTTAGAAAACCCAACGTATCAGGAGTCTTCAGAACAGACTTGCAGAGCCCGAATGTTTTGCTACTCAGAACGAATTCCCATGAAGTTCTGGGGAGGAAGAGAGAGCAGAAACTCCTCCTGGGAGCATGATTTGTTAAGGTTTTGCTCCCTCTGATGGCTGGCTGAAAGCAAGTCACAGGTGCTGCAGGGCTGTGCACAAGCAAGATTTTAAAACCCCCTTTAACAAACCAGATGAATTTAAGGATGAGGCAGATGGTAGACTATTAAACTAAACCAGCTGTCATCTTTTGAGTAATTTTTTAACTTTTCTTTTCCCTGAAGAACAGATATACACTGGCCCTGGAACCTACTGTTTGTGTATTCTGTCTCTCACGCAATCCTGATAATTTGTCATCCACTGTGAGGCCTCTGGAGCATGTTCCAAATCTTACCCTATTGACAATTTTATTTAAGGTTATTTGGGTTAAACTGACACCCTGTACAATCAGGGTGTTCCATTCCCAAATGAGTTTCTGAAGTTGAGACATATCAAGCTTCTTTAAGGGAGGAATTAGCATGGTTTTAAGTTTCCCATTCAGCCTCTCAAATGCAATTCTGGAGTTCTCAGAAATACAAACCAGTATCTTTGTGTTTTGTTATAGTGACTAAGTACCACCTGCTTTGTTTGTTAACACAACCTGCCTGTTTTGTCTGAAATATCAGAGTTTTTAAACAAAGAGATTTGAGTTTTTTGAGGTTCACTTCTTTTAAGGCGGGGGAAGCACCAGTTTCACCCTTTTTCATCTTGTCATTCCAGAAAAGAAGCGATGAATCTCTTGAATTTGACTATATGATTCTGCTTCATGAAATGGTGTCCCAGGTAAATTTTTTATTTCTAAAAAGCCTTTTTTGTTGTTTTAAGATTGCAACTTCCAGCTCGGACATGCAGGTGGTGGGGCATTCACGAACCTGATGCCTGCGGGTCAGTGAGCAAACAGGGTGACACTGGGGCAACACTCACCTCTCGGCATTACTGGCTTCTTGACCCTCCGAGAGCAGGAGACAACGGTCTCCAAACTTGGGTCAGCAAACAGTAATTTTCAGCTATTTCTGGGAATGGCTTCTTGGGAATGGCAGAGGTTCAATACACTGGTCATTCACAAGCCTCTCCTCTTGGGAAATGCTCTTGCCAAACTGGCCAGGGATGAAGGGAAGCAGCAGCTGCTGGCAGCCGAGGCTGCCTAAGTGCCTTCCGGCTGGAGGGCAGTGGCGGTGGACCAGTACACAGAGGCACTGTCCATCCCAGTAGCCCACAGAAGAAAGCAGCAAAAACTTTGTTTCTCAGAACAGTTATTGACATAGTATGCTCTTCTCCATCACCATTTTGCAATCTGAGCAAGTGTTTTCCTAAGAAAAATGCAGGATATTGGAAAGAAAAGTTCTCAATTGTGCAATCTCCTGTAATAAATCATCCCCTGGTAACTGGAAATCTTACTCCCACTTCTAGTTTCACTTCTTCCTACCCTAGGAAGTGGTTTAGTTCCTAAATTTTCTATTAAAAAAAATCCTGAGAAGTAGTAGCTAACTAACTGCAGAACAAAAGAACAGGTTCTTCACAAGTGCTTTGTCTGGTGAAGGACAGGTACCCCAAAATACCAACAGCACGAATAGGAAGAGAGGTAAAATCCAATGCAAACGCGCCTGAGCTGCAAAACTTGCCAAGACGAAGGAAAAACATAGCTGCAGCAGCATGGAACACAACCCAGGCTGACAGCTTCAGGTGTCTGGATAGGTCACAGTGTTACGGTGCTTCCCCTGCACTGCTGCTGGTGTTCAGGCAACCTTGGTACAAACTGTTCAGGTATGTCTGAATTACAGCAGCCAGTTCCCACTCAGTACTGATCAAAGAGACCACCTTCCCGCTTCCTACAGATTTATTTTCTGCCCACAGGAGATCATTCCCTGGCAAATGACAGTTCTCTGGCACCCAGGGCACGGCGTTGAGGTAACACAGGAGAGCCGTCAGCCAAAACACGCGTTGGAATAGTGAAACACCCAACAGAATAGTGGAACACACGATGGAATAGTGGAACACCCAATACCGCAACGGAAGAAGCTCAAATGCTGTGATAAGGGTTTGAAGGGAGGGCAGAGAAGTCGCTGAGGGTGGACACGCCACCATAAGTCCTTCCTCAGTTAAACTTTTCCTGCACATCGTGTTTTGATCTGATAATGCCAAAGGCACTTTCTCTGCTACATAATAAAACTCTGCATCAAAATATGTGTTAAAAATACCAAACTGTTACCAGAAAGAATACTTACGGCACAGGTGCAGCGATGTTCTCCCTAAAGGCAACTTTTGGCTTTCCCATGGTGCAAGGGCAACTATATTCTCTTTCCATTCGCTGCAGAAAAAGAAAAGGAAAAAAAAGCAAAATGAAACACAGAGTTGTTCCATTGGAACGATACATCGAAAACTATTTTATCTACAGATCTTTCTGAATCCAGAAACTTATTCAGGGTTATCCTTTTTTTTTTTTTGTTTGAGGTTGGATTGATTTTTTGGGTCTTAGTGTTTGGGTTTTTTTCCCCAAAATGTTCCAGATTACTCACTGTCATTCTGCAGACAGCATTATTTTACTCAAGTTTGAGTTTTTCAAGGCAAAAGCCATCTTTTCCTCGCTCTGCCAACGTTTCAGATACATCTGTGGTGTTAGAGTAAAATAGAGACATCAGCTTGAAAGAAACAAATAAATCACTGCAATTAACTATTCCCTCCTGTCTGCATCTTCTCTTATTACAGAACGGCACATTTGCAAACACAGAAACAGAGGATTTCTGCCTCCTGTAAGAAGTTGGTAATCGTAAAATTCATTAGAAGCAAAGGCTGCTAAAGGTACAGCACGTGGAGCTGTACACCTCCAAACGTCTTGTAAGCTTGACGCATGCTCAGGCACGCAGTCAGAAGGTCGGGCATCAAGGCTGGCACCAGTTATCCCATCTGCAGAGAGGTTCTGGTCTTGGCCAGACAGGAAGGAGAATTCTTGGTTGGGAAAAACAGCCCAAAGCAGAGCCCACAGAATCTGCTCACCAAATTACCTGGGCATAGATTTCCAAGTGCAGCTCCCCCATTCCTGAAACAATGGTCTCTTTGCTCTCGTCATCGAAGTGGATTCTGAAAGTGGGGTCTTCCCTTGTAAAGCGGCTCAGGCCTTTTGAAAATTTGTCAAAGTCATTCTGAAAGATAATTACATGCATGAAGAAACATTAACCTGACACCCAGAAGTCACACAACAAAAAGGCCACAAATTCTCCTACTAACTGCTTAGCATTTCTCTGCGCAGAACACTTCTTTGGGCAGAACATTTTTAACACACTGCTCGTTTCAGTCTGTGGCTCCATATTTCATAGACTCGCAGAATCATAAAGGTTGGAAAGGACCTTTAAGATCAAGTCCAACCTACAGCCCTACACCACCCTAACACTAAACCATCTCTTGAAGTGCCACGTCCAACCGTTTTTTAAACACATCCAGAGGTGGTGACTCCAGCATCTCCTTTGGCAACCCATTCCAATGCTAACCCGCCTGAAATCACAAAAGCAGCAAAGGGAAGGTAACTCAGTCAGAAAGAGAGATTTATAGGCTCCTACCTTGTTGGAAGGCTTCATAGCCACTGAAATGACAGGATCAGGGATGTGAATTGATTCCTGCAACAATCACAAAGGAAGAGATCATACAACCGGCTTCCACTACACCTGGGGACACTGTTTCTCCAGAAAAAGTTCGGTCACAAGAACTCAAGGTTATCACCAGGGGTTACCACTGTTTTACTTATCTAGCTTGTGTTGTAATTTTGTTATGGTATGAGATTAAAGTCTCTCCTAAGGATTACTACAAGGCTCTCCTGTAATGCCTGCCATACTGCCCGCCACAGTACCTCCAACACTTCCCAGTGCTGTTCCCTAGATCTAAGACGGATTTCACGCTAGTTAGAAGACTTGGCTTCCTATCAGATTTTGTAAACCTTATGTATTTAAATATGTATACAAATACGTAGCTTCATGCTTTTGGATAACAGCATCCATTTTTAACAGCTAACATTGAAGCAATACTTGATGCCAAAGCGTAGTAAACAGGCACGTATCTCTCTTGTGCATCCCATACATCTATATATTGAGGCTCCTTGAGGTACAAAAGAGCAATCACAAAAAAATAATTGCAGTGGCAAATGAATAAAAAATACTTAAACTACACAAACAGTAACAAACTTGTACAAGATAATCCTGCGAGGCACACAGACAGGACGAGGTACTCACCATGGAAATGTCAGTACTAGTTTTATCGGTGAACGTATCCCCGCTAGCACAATCAATCCCAAACAGCGCACATATGTCTCCTGCATGAACTTCATTTACGTCCTTAAGAAAGAGAAGTTTACTATTTAGTTAATATGGAAAGATATATTACAAATCACACCTGGTTTTAAGAAGATAGATAAATACTGTGGTTAAAAGCTTGAAGTTAAGCTCCTTTGAAAATTCCAGCTTTGGTAAAAGGCTCTGTAGATCTTCTCTCTCTTTATTCAAAGCACAAAAAGGAGACCTCAGCTTGGACGCTAACTTGTTCCAGCTTAAGCATGTGAAGCAAGCAACATACTACGTTTCAGGCAACTACAGAGTTCAGGAATCCCCAACAGGAAAGGGTGGGATTTGCAGCAGTTCGAGAAGCAATTTTTAGTTTAAGAATTGCATTCAATAATCACATGGAAAAAAAACCCCACATCGTCTATTTTGCCCATCCTATTTCCCTTCTCCCAGAAGTACGGAATAGGGTGATAATACCACAGCTGGCTCTCTTTACCTATCACCTCAAAGCCATTTTCTAACACTTCTTGGGCAAAGATCCTTCCACTCCAGTGGAAGTAATACACGAGAGATCATTCCGGCTTCCGACAGAGCTCTATTAAGTGCTACAGGCAAGCGTGGATTATCACAAAAGCAGCAATGTGATGTATCTCATCATTCAGAGACAGCTGGAAAAAAGTGAGAATGTCATCTAGTACAAGTGGCTCAAAAGGCTCAGAATCCCCGTGGGCTGTTACTTCTCACACTCACCTCCATGGTGTCCGAGTGCATACGGACGAGTCTTTGCACCCGCACTCTCTTCCCAGTCCTGGTGTTATAGATGTAATCCGATTTCTTCAGCATGCCCTGATAAACTCGGATATAGGTTAACTGCCCAAAACGGCCAGCCTGGAATCAAAATGCATTAAAAATCAGATACAATCATTCCAGGAGTCAAGACCATTATTATTCAAAGCACCATCTGCACTGACTGACTAAACGTTTCTGGTTTGAACTTACACACTAGACATGTAAATGAAACCTTTTTTTTTTTAACATAGTCTCAGTTTTCAGTTGGCTCTGGAATGGAACTTGGTACCTCCCAACAAATTTCTTTACTTTTCCAATTTTACTCCTCCTTAACGTTCCCAACAGAGGCATGCGTTAACCAGCAATTTGGCTGGCCATTTTCCATATGAAACCTGAACTGCTACTCTCTAGGTGGCAAACAACTTGGCTGCTTAAAACCGTATTTTTTCCTCTCCAACCCTCTCGTGTCCCATTGTTTTCACCTTTAAAGAAACATACGATTTTTCTCTAGAACATGAAATAAACCCACCCCCACCACACACGTTTGGGTTTTAACTAAGAAAACCATAAAGTATTTGAGGCTCACAACCCATTTTAAAACTTCCAAATTGGCAGCATATGATATATTTGGGGGGTTTGTGGTTGAAACCAGCTTTTTTAAAAGTTTAGCTTTACCATTTACACAGTGACCAAGTAAAAAAAAAAAAAAAAAATCAAAAAGGCCTACAGAAATAGATATACTGAAAATACAAAGCTTTAAATGTGTGCTTTCCCCTCAAAATGAAAGGCATTTTCCTAGAATTAGCAACAAGGCACCAACAGCTCAGTGCAACCAGCAGCTCCTGGAGGAAATGCCCTGCTTCCCCCCTGGTTTTCCTGCCTTAGACAGGAAACCACTAACAGCTTACCTCCAGTTTAAAAGCGAGGCCTATAAAAGGTTGGGAATCGTCTCGAGCAGAGTTCAGCCGGAACTTGGTTTTGTCCTCAGAATCCCTTAAAAACAGGGAGGGAGAGGGAGTTTGTGTTATGAAGCAGACACGGCAGCCTCCTCTAAACACAAGCCTGACCACAAAACGTGCCACGGCCCTTCAGCATCCCAGGTTTCTAACTGACACCTCTGGATGCTCACGTAATTGCTCAGAAAGTACCTCACAGAAACTGCAGCAGACCCCAAAAAGGAGGTCAAAACTGAAACAAATATCACTAGTCCTTCAGATCATCCGATTATTTTGCCATGAAAGCAATTAATTAGACACTCAAGACACAACTCATGGGCAAGTGAAGAAAGAGACTGTATGAACTCTTCCGACGATGCTCATGAGCCAGGTGAGAAGTTTTAGGCTAGTTAGTAGGAGGCAGCGAGAGGCAGAGGAGCAGTGAGGACTCAGAGTTGGGTAGCCACTGGGTGAAAGAGTCATAAATCGTATTTATCAGCATTGGTTCTGCTTAGCTATGATTAGATTCTCTGAGCAACTCAAGCACATCAAGAAGACCTGACAGCCACCCCTGTGTCGTGACTGGAATGCCAAGGACTATTTACGGGCTCTAACGTTGGGTTTCATGCTTCTTAATTGTGAAGGCACAACTACTTCCACCAACATGCCCAAAGGATAAAACGCTGTTTACACATTTCAGATGTGCTCTCTCCTCTCTCGTAAGCATGGCCATTAATTTCTAAAGAACTACTTCCTCAGATGACTTTTCAAATTTAACACGTGTTAAAAATACCGGTATAAACTGTAACCCTCAAATCAGGGATGAGCGTTCTTAAGTTTTCCAAGTTTGTGCAAAATTAGGGTTCCACTATTTAATACAAAGGGCAAACGATCGTGTATTTTGTTAGCAATACTTCCTGCTACGTGCTACACTACTTCACAACTGGATTCCCAGACC